GGTGTCTTCAGGTGCTTGTGGGGTCGTCAGTGAACGGGTTTGGACTGGACACGAGTGACGCAGACATGTGTCTGATAGTGTCCAACTCTCTGATTGACCGACCAGCGGGACTGGGCACTGCTCATCCGCACGGAAGTCATGCTGGTGTTGCACAGTATCCTGGATTGACGTAAGTCTCAGTAAAACCGTGCTTGCGCTGTACTGATCTGTAATGTATTTTAATGCCGATGAAATTCTATGTTCTGCTAGCTGTCTGCGGACTGGTGTATGAATGTGCCTGCCAAGATCCCCTTGGTCAAGTTGACCAACGTGCGCACTGGTATCAACTGCAACAACACAGTCGGCCTGCTCAACACTCGACTCTTGCGCGCCTACGCGGACCTGGACTGGGAACTGTGTTGCTGTCGATCTAGACCCTGCTGAGTGCTCCGAATCCAGACGATCGATCCTTTGCGAAATGACATGGCGGAATTGTGGAAAGTGAACAAGGCTGAGGCTTCGCACATTGCTCGGGGATGGACACGTTTGTTCGCTGGCGGTAAAGAATCCTCGTTGCTACCTTCGCCTCCGGTGATATCCTTCTCTTATCTTGTTTTAAGTGTGCGTGTGATGCAGCATCTGACTTTGTTGAGCGTATCTCGCTCCTCTTTCTCTTTCTATTTTTCGTAAAAAACTGAACGTACAGGATGCGTTACTCTGCGGCGTTGCTCTTGACGTCGCACAGCAATGCTGGAATACGTTCTGATGCCTTACTGTGCGACGTGGTAGAGTAAGGTTGTACCGGATGCGTTACTGTGCGGCGTTGCTCTTGACGTCGCACAGCAATGCTGGAGTATGTTCTGATGCCTTACTGTGCGACGTGGTAGAGTAAGGTTGTACCGGATGCGTTACTGTGCGGCGTTGCTCTTGACGTCGCACAGCAATGCTGGAGTATGTTCTGATGCCTTACTGTGCGACGTGGTAGAGTAAGGTTGTACCGGATGCGTTACTGTGCGGCGTTGCTCTTGACGTCGCACAGCAATGCTGGAGTATGTTCTGATGCCTTACT